TGGAATCTTTGGAATCTTTGGAATTTTTGGAATTTTTGGAATTTTTGGAATTTTTGGAATTTTTGGGATTTTTGGGATTTTTGGAATTTTTGGAATTTTTGGAATTTTTGGAATTTTTGGAATTTGGGAATTTTGAGAATTTTGTAAATTTTAGGAAAGTGTACAAGATTTCACATGAAAGGTTGGTCCAGCGGGGGGGGGCTAGCATATATATACACACACCAGATGTTACATGTGTAAGTGTGGCTTGGAAACCTGCTTCGGATGTGAAGCTCCCGAAATCCACGGCGTAGCCCACGTGAGGCTGCCACTGGGAAGAGGCCGCACGGCGAGGCCCGCGGATGAAATCCAAAGCTACTGACTGCACGAAAACCATGCCTTGGAGCCGAAAAGACAAGGGGTTAAGGGTTTAGGTGGGGATGGTGACTGCCGCTCGACTTCAGCATCTTGCTCATCAACTACCACACAACCGCTCTCCGCGCTGCAGCATGGAGCGTAGACTTTGGGAGGCGACGAAGTTCGGTAAGTCTATGGTTGCGGCTACCTTGCCAACTCTCAGACGAACTCCTCCCAAAGTCGCTCGAGGGCCACAAGGAACCTGCGGCAGAGGACCCATCAAATTTATCTCTTTTAAGTACAATATAACAAAGATAACATAATACAGTATAGTACACTATAACATAACATGATATAGCAAAATACTCAAACAAGTATAAAGTATGGTATCATACATTCAAACAATAATCACATATACTTAGATACTATATTGTCGAATCTAATATCAATTATCTCGTCCAGCCAGCAGCTCATCTTGCAGAGGAGAGGCAGTGCGCCGCCCACTAAGTACAAGGCGAACCTCGTCCCGGCTTTTGGGTTTTTTTTAGTTTGGTGACGGTTCTGAGGTTCATGCAGGGGCCTTGATAATTAGAATTGGGTTTTGGGGCCGATTATACTATACTTATAATAAGGACCCCCCAAAAAATAATGTTGGTAATTCTTTAGGCCCCTATGTTAGGGGGATTCGGGGTTTAGGGGTTCAGGGGTTCAGGGTTTTTGAGCTTCGGGATGCTTGCTCAAGTTTTTAGGGTCTAGGCTTGGGGTTCCAAGCAACATCGGCAACGCTGGCTGTGTTCACAAGAAGTGGAGTGGCTGGGGTCGCAGCTTGTCGGAGTCGTCGCGAATCAGCTGGCGCTCCATGGTGTCTTTGACAATCTGCGCCTGGTGCCATGACTCAGAAAAAGGCGTCCCTACGTAATTGGGTCCGAGCATGTCTTGAGCCTTGGCTTCGAGTGCCTCCGAGTCGGGTATGGGCACAACAATGTCCCGGCCGGTCCATCTGACAAAGAAGTTTCCACTCGCCGAGGCCAAGCAGGCTCGTGGTGACATGTGGGAGTTTCCGAAAATATGGGGCACATTTTTGGGGGTCCCTTATGATAAGGATCCTACTATTTAGGGTACTATATTAGGGCCCCCTTTTTTTCGGAAACCTCCATGTTAAAACTGGCCAGCGCCACTCACCGGAGACACCTTTCCCGAAGACCCAGCCATCCTGATCGGCGAGTTTCAAATACCTCGGCCAGCTTCGGTTCGGACCCTCGAACCTCCACCTGAACCGGAAGGATCCCTCAAGAAAGCCCGAAAGAAGGGGCTCCTTGCGTTTTCTCATATGTTTTACGGCACCGAAATAAGGCACGGAGAGTTGAGACAAAAAGCCACACAAAGACCGCAAAACCGGGACCCAAGCACCCTGAACCCTGCATTCCTTCACAGCCACTTGGAGGCGCAAGGGACTTAGTAATTAGGTTATAAGTAGAGATAACCCTACTTATAACCGACTTACTAAGTCCCCTGGGCCTCCAAGCACACCTTCGCTGTTTCTGCCGCGTCCCCGAGGCCCTCACACTTGGCCGTCTCTGGTCCTCATCTCCGAGCATTGAAACACCTGAGGAGTTTGAGGTTAGGGCTTAAGAGTCTAAAGGTTTAGGACTATTTTAATGTAGGGGCCTTAATAATTAGACTAGGGTTTTGGGTTTAGGGTTAGGGTTTAGGGTTTAGGGCTTAGGGCTTAGGGTTTAGGGTTTAGGGTTTAGAGTTTAGGGGTTAGGGAATGCTTGGGCTTGCGCGGGCAGGTGCTGACATCTGGCTTCAGCAATAAGGAACACTCAGCTTAACCCTAAACCCTAAACCCTCAAACCCCAAAATCCTAAACCCGAAGCCCTAAACCCTAAATCCTAAAGCCTAAATCCTAAGCCCTAAGCCCTGAACCCTAAGCCCTGAACCCTAAACCCTAAAACCTAAACCCGAAGCCCTGAACCCAAAGCCCTGAACCCTAAGCCCTGAAACCCTAAACCCTCAAAACCTGAGCCCTAAACTAAAACCTGAACCCAAAGCCCTGAACCCTAAACCCTAAGCCTGAACCCTAAACCCTAAACCCTAAACCCTAAGCCCTAAACCCTGAAGTCCCCGGAACCCGTCAGACTGAGTCCCGGGCATCGCCGGCTTTGATCATCGAAATCCACTCGCCGGATTTCAGCTTCTGGCTTTCAGCCTTGTTTAGGGTTGAGGGTTCAGGGTTTAGGGAGATGTGGGAGGTTTAGGGTTTAGGGAGGGTTTAGGGTTGAGGGTTTAGGGTTCAGGGTTGAGGGCTTAGGGTTCAGGGAGGGTTTAGGGTTAAGGGTTTGAGGGTTTGGAGTTGAGGGTTCAGGGTTTAAGGTTAAGGGTTCAGTTTTAGGGTTGAGGGTTTAGGGTTTAGAGAGGGTTCAGGATTCAGGGTTGAGGGTTTAGGGAGGGTTTAGGGTTGAGGGTTGGCCAACAGTGGGAAGGTGTCGTGGAAAGTAGATGATTTAATATATAACTGCCTACAGGAGAATGCAATTGCACAGAATGGAAAATTAAAAATGTGCATAAGAGTATAGCATTGCAGCATGAAATACAGCAGTTAGCGTAGTTTGTTCTGATGCGCAGATTCGTAGTGCATGTCATGATGATCCTTGTGGCAGTAGGACCAGCAGCAGTCGCCGCACAACCAGCGCCGGAGAGGGAATGGGAGGCATGAGTGCCTTGGGCTCCGGCTCCAGCCAAAGTCGGCGCATTCACGTCGGGAGCCATGCGAACCTACGCCAGCTGAGATGTGATGATGCGAACGCTGCGCCCAGAGCTTTGCACATGAACCCTAAACCCTGAACCCCAAACCCTAAACCCCACACCGT